ACACACAGGTACACACACACACACACACACACACACACACACACACACACACACACACTGGAGTTGGGGATCTGACTTTGTTAATAGAGTACTTGCCTAGCATGCACGAAGCCACCCTGGATTCCACTCCCAGAATCACGTCAGCTGAGCATGGTGGCAATTACTTGCCTGTAACCCCCATGTGGAGGCAAGAAGATCAAGGCCATCCTTGGGCTGTGTAGCACAGGCAGAAAATTACATGAAACGCTGTCTGAAACAAACACACAACAAACCCACCACACATTAACTTTATCAAGAAAGCACAACATTGAGGTTGGAGAGACAGAAGAAAGAACATACAAATTAGATCAAGGCAAATAATAAACAAATCAGAGTAAGACAAAACAGGAAATGGTGGGGAGAAGAAAATGATTGCTGAAGTCTGTGTGCTTTCCGTTTCTATTAAAAATTGGACTTGATGGTGAACTTGAAGCTTTGGCGGAAATGCATAGTTATGTCTTCAAGTCTAGTGCTTCCCTTTAGTCCAGTGGTTCCCAGCTCTCCTAAGGCTGGGACTCTTTAATACAGTTCCTCATGTTGTGGTGACTCCCCTCTCCCCCAACCATAAAATTACTTTTGTTGCGACTTCATAGCTACAATTTTGCTATTGCTACTGTCATGAGTTGCAATGCAAATATATGATATCTGATATGCCACCCCTGTGAAGGGGTTCTTCGACCGCAAAGGGTCATGACCCACAGGCTGAGAACCACTGCTTTCGTGCTTGCCTAATGCCAGCCAGTGATCAATATGATTGTTTCAGCAGGGGCCCTGGGATCTCTCCACTTCCTCCTGCAGAATTCACTTTTGAAGTCTAAATGGTTTGAGTCACTCAGAAACATAAGAACAATGGATTTTAAATCATTTGGCATGTATCTTCAATCTTGGCCATAATGTAGACACTAAAACCTTGAAACTGGACTGTAAAAAGGAGTACTCAATTCAGTACATGTTCTCCAGAACAAGGTTGGAAACTAAGATTTGTGTTATGTGTGCACTCAATGCTCTCCCTAAGAGCACAAGGATTTTAAAGCTTTGTCTCAGACTTTATGTATTTATTATGTATACAGTGTTCTGCCTGCAGGTATACCTGCCTGCCAGAAGAGGGCACCAGATCTCATAATCCGTAGCTGTGAGTCACACTACATGGTTGCTACGAATTGAACTCAGTACTGCTGAAAATAGCAGCCAATGCTCTTAACCTCTGAGCCATCTCACTCCAACCCCCAGACTTTAATTTTTGATTCAAGTTGTTTGATGGTGAAATATAATATAAAATAAAACTGGTAAAAAGAAAAAAAAAAGAGGGCTGGGTGTTGGGGGCGCACGCCTTTAATCCCAGCACTCTGGAGGCAGAGGCAAGTGGATCTCTGTGAGTTCGAGGCCAGCCTGGTCTACAGAGTGAGTTCCAGGACAACCTCCAAAGCAATATAGAGAAGCCCTGACTCAAGAGAGAGAGAGAGAGAGAGAGAGAGAGAGAGAGAGAGAGAGAGAGAGAATCTGGAATTACAGCAAACTCCTTCTCATCCTTCCCATACAGGTAGACCGTTGGCCAGAGACAGGATACGTGAAGAAACTTCAGCGGAGGGACAATACTTTCTATTACTACAACAAACAAAGGGAATGTGAGGACAAGGAAGTCCACAAAGTGAAAATTTACGCGTACTGACGTACTGACGTTTTCATTTCTTTGGCTTGGCAATCCTATTTTAAGAATTCATTGTTTACACTTTCCATCATGTAAATGCCATTTTACAAAACAATTTGAAATGCTGTCTTTAATTCAATGTCTTAAAACATAAACACCCCGAAACCTGGTATTGGCCAGTCATCTTGTCCAGTTCCAAACAGTTCTGCAGTTGCCCAGAACCTTAGAATTGGGCCCTGCCCCTCCACCTCCTGAGTATTTTAGTAGATTCCCTGGGAAACCAAAGCTTTGGAAGCCACTCCAGGGCTTAAACTGTTTCCTTAGAGCAGATCAGACCTCCACTCAGAGCACCCTCCTAGCCTCTCTCTGCCTACTATAGTGCTTGAACTTTCTAGCCTTGGATTTTGTTTTTTGCCTCTTTCTGGACATACTGGAAATACAAAGAATGATGCTCACCCTGGAGAAGCCCTCCACAAATGTAGAAAAGGAGTATCTAATGTGCACACATACACCAGAGAGGGAGTATGGAGAGAGAGAGAGAGAGAGAGAGAGAGAGAGAGAGAGAGAGGATGAAAGTCAAAGAGCCAGAGAGACTAAAATGTATTACATTACTATATAAACACACGTATTTACATTTTAAATTAACATTTAATGATTTAGCTACCAGTGTTGGGGATAAAACACAATACCTCACAAAAGACCAGTCATTTACTACACTACCCAGCTACATGCCCAGCCCTGGATTATTTACTCAGCTAGTTAATGGTGAGACAGGGTCTTGCTGTCTATCCAAGCTGTCTTTGAACTCATGACTCTCTTCCTTCAACACCCTCCTCCCAAGTGCTGAGATTATGGCACCATTTCTAACCCATAGGCTCTCAGAAAACAATTGGGCCTTGAAGTTTATGCTGATTGATGGTACCTAGTGGATATTCTGCTGTCACCTGTTTGGGGTCGAATATGTCCTTTCTCCAAACACATCTAAGCCCTACCTCCCCAGTACCTTTGAATTTGATGGGAATTTGAGTAAGATCTTTAGAGGAGAAATCAAGTTAAAAAATGTTCATATTAGTGGCCTCTAACCTTGTGACTCATCTCATTAAGATCTGAAGACACGACAATGTAGGGAAGAAGTCACTGGAACCATGGAGATCCAAATTGGAGTGATGAAATTTTTTTGTGAAATCACATCAATCATTGCCAGCAACCAGAAATGACAAGGAAGGAGTATAACTTACTGCTTAAAGCATTCAGAGTGAACTTGGCTCTACAGGCACCTTGACTTTGGAAAATTCGCCTTTAGAGCTCAAAGGACAATGTTTTCTGTTGTTCAAGCTATGTGATTTGTGGCACTCTGTCCCAGTGCCTCTGGGAAATTAACACACCACCCATATCATCCAAAAGGAGGAAGATTTATTCTGGTTCATGGTTTCCAAGATTTTGGTTTGAGGTTAAATGGCTTTGGTGCTCCTGGGCATGAACTTGATGATGTGCACTGTATGACGGAACAACCCAGCTCACCTTGTGACACCCAGGAAGCAGAGAGGAGCCAAGGACAAGATAGCTCCTTTTACTCTACCTCCCCATAATGCCATCATATTACAAATCCATCACGGGATTAATCCATTGATTAGGACAGAACCTTCAGGACCCAGTTACTTCCTAGAAGTCCACCAACAGACAACCAAACCCCTTACATGTGGATCTGCGAGGGGTATTTCACATCTAAGGCGTAATGAGTATCTCGTGATGCCAGTGAATGTGAGACAATGGTTCGGTTGCTTTCTGACCCATATCTTACCCATCCATAGGAATGATAAAACTTCTCTTACCCAGAGCCTGTTAGTTGTTTTTGCATGTCACAGCAGCTGATTTAACTATGGTGGACCATTTGGTAGGTATTTGAATACTTGATCCTCAGTTGGTGGTTCTTTTGGGGGACACTAGAAAGCCTTTAGGCACTGAAGCCTTGCTAGAGGAAATAACCACTAAGATGGGCTTTGAGAGCTTATGACCTGGGCCCACTTCCAGTTTGCTTTCTCTCTGCTTTGTGCTTTGTGTGACTCTAAGGTCCCCCACCCAACTTGCATCCAGATTACAGAATCAATCCTATTCCTTATTTTCTAATTGTCTTCCATTTGCCTGGCTATCTATTATTTAAATATTCAAAGACTTCAGAAACCTCATGGTGCTGTTTCAAGATACCATAGAAAGAACTAGGAAGACTCTATGGGTGTTTGGACATTTTATTTAAGTCCTTGGCTGTGGATGCTGGAAAGACAAGGATCCATACTGCAACACTTACGCATAAACAGAATGAAAAGCGGAGTCCTAGTACTTGTAACAGAATTAATAAAAGACCCTGAGACTGATATTTGGGTTCGAACTTCAAGCTGTAAAACAGAAAAGCAAAAAGCTGCCGAGCTATCAGTGAGTTCTTATTCTAACAGGACTGGGGAATTCCTATTCTCAATGTGGCTGGAGAATGAAAGCCTCCAATCTTCAGTGTGCCTGAAGATTGAATGCCTGATACTGAGACCTTGCCCGTGTCTTATATACCTCCTTTTCTCTCTTTTTTTAAAAAAATTTAAATTAGAAACAAGCCTGCTTCACATGTCAATCCCAGCTCCTTCTCTCTCCCCTCCTCCTTT